CCTCGGATGACCGTGGCCCCGCCCCCAGCGTGCCCGGCATTGTCGCACCACTTTCGGGTGACGCGCACGTCGGGGTAGGATTCCCCCCGGGGCTCGATCCGCCGCCGCCAGGGAACGAGCCTCTGGGGCGGGGGTTTCCCTGCCCCCCGGGGGGGACTTGGGAAGCCTAGTCTTGTGTTTGAAGCAGCCTTCAGACAATGGTTGTTCTGTTTGGCATACGCACGATGTGTTAGATAACGCTTTTCTTTTTTGCCATCAAGTCGCAGGTGATTTATGGCAACCCCACAGGGATTTCAAGGCCAGAGACCATCGGATATGATTTTCCATTGCCTCCCTCTGCATCACAACTCTGGTATTCCTTGGTGGTCTCCCGTCCAAATGCTAGCCATAGCTGACCCTGCTTAGCTTCTGAGATCTGACAAGATCAGGCTAGCCTGGCCCTGAGACCAGATAGCCCAGGCAAGCCCGATCTCGTCAGATCTTGGGAGCTAAGCAGGGCTGACCCTGGCAAGTACTTGGAAGGGAGACCTCCAAGGAATACCAGGGCCCAGGATGCAGGGGCAGGCAATAGCCAGCCACCTCTCTGAATATCGAAGCCCCACTAGGGGTCACTAGAAGTCAACCATGACTTCCAGGCATGTGTGTGTGCGCGCACACACACACACACACACACACTAATCACATCAATAAATTAAAGATTGGACTACCCTGGGCTACCCAGGTCAGGGCATGTTACATTCTAGCAGCTTCTATTTTGATTTAGAACTGATCTGAAGAACTCAGTAAAGTAAAGGTAAAGGTTCCCTTGCTCGAAAGCCAGTCGAATCCGACCCTAGGGTTGCGGTGCTCATCTCCGTTTCAAAGCCGAAGAGCCAGCGCTGTCCGAAGACGTTTCCGTGGTCATGTGGCTGGCATGACTAAACACCGAGGCGCACGGAACGCTGTTACCTTCCCACCGAAGCGGTACCTATTTATCTACTTGCAATTTCTTGCTTTCAAACTGCTAGGTTGGCAGGAGCTGGAACTAGAGAAAAACTCAGTAGCAGTTATTAAAAAAATGGGTTTGTTTTTTTCTTTCATTGGGAATGCTTTGGAAGGTGAACAGTGGGACCACCTCTCTTTTGTAACCTGACCTTGCCTCCTCTTCTATAGAAGTGACCCTAAGCAAGCCTGCTTAGAAGGAAAGCTGATGTTATTCAGTTGGGCTTCGTTCGAGGAACATGTCCTTACAACCAGTGTTCCTTCTAAGCTGAGTTAGTGTGAGCTAGCTCACAGTTTTTGAGCCTCCATCTCACACATTTTTGTCTTAGCTCAGGAAGGATGGCTCCAGAGCAAACTAATTTAGCCAAATTGCTTGCTCACAACTTTAATGCCAGCAGCTCACAAAGTAGAATTTTTGCTCACAAGAACCCACATCTTAGAGGGAACATTGCTTACAACCTATGTCATGTCCTATGCTAGCATGAAAGTGGAGTAGGGTCTGAAGACTTGTGGAAGTATGACACTTCTGAAAACAAAAAGCCTTATTCTGTGCAGTTAGAAAAGCCATCCTGGGATTATAGAAGTCGGAGAAAATAAACAAACAGAAACCGGAACAGGGAGCCTGACGTCAAGTACGTGCCCTGCAAAAGGAATTGTCTGCCTTTATCTTATCATTTCAGATGCAATAGCCTCCCATACGTATATGTTCAATGCACACTTTGTAAACTCTGTGTTATTTGCCTTCTTTCCCAGAGACCCTCAAAGAGAGAATTCAGTAAACGACATTGAGTGCAAGAGTGAATATGTATCATAATATTTCCCCCTGCTGTGTTTCCCTGCTAGAATAAACGTTTGGAGGAGGTGAAGCGGCAGGAACAGGAGCTGCTGGAGGCTCAGTCCATTCCCTTGAGAAACTATCTGATGAAGCACGTCATGCCCACGCTGATGCAGGGGCTGAACGTCTGCTGCATGGTCAGGCCAGATGACCCCGTGGATTTTCTGGTAAGGGAGCGTAGACCTTTTTCGGGATGGGCCCATTCCAGAGGGGAAGCAAGCTGTGTTATTTATTTTAATTTTATTTACATTATTTATAGTCCACCTTTCTCACTGGGACTCCAGGTGGATTACACAAAGTGAATCAATGACATCAACAGGTTGCCAGCTCTGGGTTGGGAAACACCTGGAGATTTTGGGGGTGGAGCCTGAGGAGGGCAGAGTTTGGGGAGGGGAAGGACTTCAGTGGGGTATAATGCCATACAGTCCATCTTCCAAAGCAGCCATTTTCTCCAGGTAGACTTATCTCTGTCGCCTGGAGGTTGGCACCCTTATTCAGCAAATAATGCACTAGGATTTGGGTTGTAGAGCCAACCAGAAATATAAGAACAGAACGGAAGCAAAGCAAACTGTTAGCATGATACATTAAATGAAGCAAAATTACATAGTAAGATCCAACTTACAGCAAACTATACACAGCAGTATAGACCCTAATAATTTGACCAAGGAACTTTGTGTGTCATTTTGCGCAGTGCTACTAGGGTTGCCAGGTTCCCGCTGGCCACCAACGGACATTGGGGGGGGCAGGTGTGCCAGATCCAGGTTGGGAAGCTCCTGGAGCTTTGGGGATGGAGCCTGGGGAGGGCAGCAATCTCAGCAGGGTCCAGTGCCACAGAGTCCACCCCCAAAGCATCCATTTTGTCCAGGAGAACCGATATCTTTAGCCTGGAGATAAGCTGCAAGTCTGGGGAGCCCCCAGGCTGGCATCCCTAATGGCGACCCTGTTATCTGTGTAGGAAAAGCTCTCTTGAATCATTCAGTTCCGCATCGTTTTGGGGAAACCAGGAGAGTGGGAGCCTTCCTGACCATTCCACAAGAGGGACCATTCCACGAGTTTAGTTCTTGGCGGCTAAAATAACACACATCTTGAAGACTGAGGGATGCATTGTGGCTTAAGACGCAATCAGAAGAATTAGATTGGCCGTGCAGTCCTCACATGCTTCCAAGCGCATTGAAATCAACCAGCTTTATTGGGGCATCCCTCTGAAGTAGAATCACATCTTTCCCAGTCCGTCGAAGTCAGGGGGCTTTAGAGGGGCCTAACTCTCTTTCGGACTGCACTGTCAGTGCGCGGGGAGACTTGTCCCCCAAGTTACAAACAGCAGAAGGGCTGGGGCCTTATTGCCATGACAAGAAGTCAGAAATCCCATGATTCCAGAAGACACGTTTGTGTTGCTAATCACATCACATAGCACAGATGAAAAGGTCCAGTCGAAAGAGGGTACTGATCCAATCGGCCTGA